GTGACTTCTGGTCCCCGCACTTTTTCTGGCTCTGCATGTGGTACTGAGCAAGCCACTCCCCCTCTTGGGGCCTCAGTTTTGTACCTATAAACTAAGCTAACTGCTGATCCTGGAGTGGCCTCCCAGCCCTGACTTCTGTGATCCTGTGATGCCTCAGGAAGGTTCCCCCCCTCCAACCTCCCCACCCCCAGGCCTAGCCAGAGTGAGGGGGTGAGTTGCCTGCTGTCGCCATGGGGACTAATCTCCAAGAAGGTCAGTGAGCCTCTGGCTCTGCCTTGGCTGGATGGGGATTAGCACCTGGGTATGAACCCCCGCCCCATGCCTCCATGCCCAAGTCCCCCCCACTCTCTTATAGACCCTGGGCAGCCTCCACAGCCAGAAGCTCCAAGGCTGGGCCAGAATCAGCAAGTGGACAGTGGAGGCAGGGCAGCTGCCACAGTTGTCTGTCTGTCCAGCTGTGGCCAAGAGAGAAAAGAGGAGAGTCAGATCATGCCCCAGGGTCCACTCACGGCCTGAGCCTTGCCCCTCTTTGCCTTCTGCTTCTTAATGGGGAGAGATTGATCTCCCAAGATGGGGTGTCACTCCCACCGCCAGCCCTGGTTGTCCCATTTGCAGCCCACATAGAAGCCACCTCTGTCTCTTCCGGTGGAGGCGATTTCCTGCTACCAATGTGGGGTGGCGTGGAGGCTGTTTCCACATCACCTTTCCCTTCTACATACACTGTGCCTTCCACGTCTGGTTACCTGAACCCTGAGCCTCCATCTTTAAATCCCTCCATCTCTGATATGTACGTCTCTGGTTATCTCACATTGTTTCTGTCCCTTTTTAGTTTTCTCTCAGGTGGTCTCTGCCTCTCGGGTCTCTCTCTAGCTCCTGCTTTCATGGGGGGGGGGGGGAGGGGGAAAGGTGTCTGCAGCCCCTCTGGTCTTGAAATTTCCCCTGTGGTTCTCACACCCCTCTGTCCTGTCCTCCTGGTTGTGTTCTTGGCCCTCCTCTCATCCTCCCCAGTTCCATTTCCAGCCTGCAGTTTCCCAGTCCCATCACTGCCAGTGTCCAGGCTCAGTCCCTTTTCCTGCTCCCTCCCCCGCCCAAGGTGCTGACAAGGATGACAGGAAGCAGGCTCCGGCTGGGAGCTGGACAGGCGAGGGGGGAGGGGGCCCTCGAACACCAGCTGCTGAGCACCCCTCTCACCCAGCCCCGCACCTGCAGGCCCGCCTGGCGCCTGGAGACTCCACCCCTGGCCAAGTAGGGGAGGAGGGACCTGGATGAGAGGACAGATCCCTGACTAGGGCCAGGAAATGCACCTCTTGGGGATGGGTGGGGGGTGGAGGTCCAGGGAAATTAGGCTCTGGGGAAGAGGCAGTGGCGTTGTCACAAGGGCAGAACCCTGACCACTGGTGGCCTCATTTTCTCAACAACCCCCCAAAGGACTGCTCTGTATGTATGTCTTGGGGGTCATTCCAGGGGAGACCTTTGTTGTGCAGCCCCAGGATCTCGAAGCCAAGGAGAGGGAGGGGGAGAATTCTAGCCCTCTTCTATGATTGAGGGAGGAGAGAGGAAACCCTCTAAGACACAGGGAGGACGTGCCAGCTCCAGGCCTAGTCCCTGACAAGCACATCATTCAGCACCAGGCAAGGAGCAGAGTGCTAGTCCTCTGTCTCAAACATGGGACAGAAGCCTGGTCAGGGAGGCCAGAATGGGGACTGCACACACCACAGCCTAGGACCCATGCATCCTCCCTTCCCATCTATGGCTGCTGCCCAAAGATCCCACTTGCAGTGTCCCCCTCTCCCCAGACCTGCCTGGGACCTGTCAGAGCCATCTCATCCCCATTCCCTTCCTTTCTCTGCATCAAGGACTCAGCAGAGTCTGTGGGGCCTGAGGGTGATGGGTGAGGGGTAGCAGTGGAGTGGGG